GGGGGGGGGGGGGGGGTTGAGTTTTGAAGGATGTACAGTAGGTGTGTTTGTGAATATGAGCGATAGATTGTATATGTGAATACCAAGCTAAAAAAAACCTGCTGCTGAGTACATGTACAACTGGCTAAAATATTTCATTCCTACAGGCAGTACCTGCCAGGGAGAATTTGCAGAGCAGTCCCGTTTGCATGATGATTTGGAGACAGTTTTGTAGAATCAAAATAAATGTAAAAGTCTATATTATGTGTCTTTATTTCGGAAAAAGTGGTCAGATGTGTTTGGAATTAATATCAGGACAAAAAGGTAGTTTTCTTTGACCATGAACGTCTTAATGCTACATGTTTCCATTGAAGGTGTTAGATCACAAAGGCATTATTTAACATTATTTCTTCATACCTTTATTACGGGAGGGATTGGGCATTTTCTGAAATTGAAAAAGAAACTTTTAAAAACTATTGTAAGTATTTTGTCCCTTTTTTTTTTAACCTGTTTTTGTTATTAAGGGCAACATAAACATACAGTGGTTACTCATTTTACATCACTGTATTCATTACAATATTTAAGGCCAAAGAAACATTTCACTCTCACAATGTTACCCATTTAACAGGAGAGTTAAAGTGAAGTGACACCATGTAATGTTTGACAGAAAAAAATAAAATGTTCCTCTTACAAATAAACTGTTTAATTCATTAGTAGCCTACAACCTTGTTTGGTATGGTATGACCAGTAGTTTATGTGTAATTTTAGTCATATTTTACTCACTTTATGACTCCTAGTCCACATGTGCTACTGTTGCTGTTTGGTGAGGTTTTGTGACAATTCTCTGTGGGTTCGTTACAGAAAGAAACCCCTTTAATATTACACATTGTCATTTGATACATTGCCAGTATAAAATAATTATTAGTTCTCAAAGAAAATACCAAATGGAAGTTGATTTTATCCTGTAATGCCACTCAGTAAAAAATACTGGTAGTATTGTAATGACACCAGTTTACAGATAAAAAGAGATACATAATTTAACAAGCAAGCCTTAACTGTTTGTAAGAGGGATATAACAGTTAAATATTATTTGTTAAACAAATTTAAAGTATAATTCTCATTAGGACAGGCTGAACTCATAATTAGGTAAGTAATGTAGACAATTTCCACTGCAGCATTGAAGAGTGAGGTTGCTCCACAGATGTTACACACACACACATCTGTCAGATGGCCAGCTGTCTGCACACTGCTGAAACTGTCACCTCTAATAATGATGTTGTTCAGCTTGATTTCAGGCTCAAGAGGCTGTATGTGTAGATACCACAACTGTCTTTATTGTCTCTATTAATTTGTCATCTATTTTATTGCTAAGTGTGCAGTTTCCGAGCAAGGTGGGATGATGGATGGTCCTGCAGGTTATGTGTGTGTGTAGAGATCGGAAGACTATGTTTAAAGTGTGTTAAAGTGAAGCATGTAGTTTGAAGGTGTTTTCTGCTCTCTTCCTCTCTTCTCCACAGTGGCTGTCAGCTTTAATTATCTTTGACAATGAGCCTCCTGAATCCTAATTACGCTGAGCCTTGTCTTTCCTGGAGCTCCTCACCATTCACTCCAGCAGCATGACGCGCTCACACGTTCCAGTCCTCTTCACCCTAAATTAATTGGGTTTTTTCTCTCATCTCCTGACATCTTTTGGGAATCAAAGGTCGTCATTAGTTCGGGTGAGGATGTAGGGCGACAGAGAGACAGTCATGCATCAGACAGCAGCGCTGTCATGTGGCTGTCCCGGTTATGACAATGACTGGTCTTTATTCACTGTGCAGAGTCTTATATGAGAAGATTCATATGACTGGCCAGAACAGCTTATTGAGGCTCAGTAGTGTGTGAGAATTCACAATTATATTGTGTTCAATAGCTGGCGTGGACAGTGATGACCATAAGAGGCTTTTAGTTGGTCCAACTCTTAAATGTACTCTGGCATTTAGCTTGGAAATGAAAGGTGATTCCACAGAAAATGTCACATAAAACTTGCACTACAGCTATATGATATCTTAACTCCTAATTAAAGCGTTTCACTTAAACTGTTCAATGGGAATTTATCATTAAAATAGATAACTCAAACCAATTTAACATAGAAGTAGTCAACACAGGTGTGAAATGGTTGCTTTCTGCCTTGCAGGGGTAAGTTTAAAACAGAATGAGGAATTACAATAGATTAAATTAAAACTCCTCAATTAGCATGTGCGTTGTTGCTACATCCCACGTGATAACAGCTATAGCTAGAAAAAAAACTAGCAGAAGGTGTTATCTAGTTATAACTGTGTGCTTTGAAAATATAAAATACATTTACTCAGATAATATAATCAAGACGTCCTGAAAGCATGCTGTCCTTAGGCCCAGACAGTGTAGCAGTGTTGGCTGCACATGTGATGGGAGAATGCACTGTGCATACAGAGTGCAGAGGGTTGTCATTTCTCTAATTTGTATAAGTGTGTTCCCATTTAATGGTATTCTGGCTAACGTGAGTGGAAAGTGTGCTGCTGAATGGTTACTATTCTATTGAATGGGTCTACTTTCAACCAAAACATGCCATTTTATTGCTTTCTTCTGTTTATATTATCCCCAGATAAGTTCACTAGTTCATTAGCCTCATCAGCCACATCCAATGACTGAAGTGGAAGGTACATTTGTTCAATCAGCCGCATAGCTGATGGTTATTTTTACTTTAAAAAACATATCGGGTTATGTTTTGAATATGGAGAAGAAAACTGGCCATTATTGCAATTTATTAGTTTGATGGTTTATCATGTCAGGATGATTAATTCAGAGTAGTGTCAGGTAAGACAGACCTGTGTCTTAAATTTCTTAAAGTCACTGTAAGTAATGTATTTCAGAAGTGTTTTTTGTTGAAATTCTCTTTAGACAGAAATCAATAAATCAAATGCTCTGAAAAACCCAGTATCTGTTGCAGTCACAGTCCTGTAATAAGCCCAGCCAATGATTCCATTCAGACCTAATGAAATGATCGGCTGGCCGACCTGCCTGTCTGCCTCTGCACACTCTGCCCCTATATTCAATGCACAGATATTGCTAAGGCTGCCGAGCTAGTTGCACAATAATGGCAGAGAAAGACCAGCCATAGTGTATGGTTTCACCTGTAACTAGAACAGTTTGTGCTCCTAAACAAAGTAAGAAAAGAAATTTGGAAGCAACAGGTCAACATTGGTGGGAATTTTCAATGAGAACTGAGGGACAGGTTATTATCTGCTTTGTTTTGGAGAGAATTTGTTATGTCCCTGAACTATGTAGTATGTAGAACTATGTATGAATGAGACAGGAGGTAGCTGGATACAGTTAGTGATGACAACGATACGCTGTGCTCCTCTCTGGCACTGCGTGTTCATGTGTTGGGGGAGCACTTTTGGAGGGAGGCCTCAAGGGACGGAGTGGGATTTCTTTGGTTGGATACTTTCAAAGATCTAGCCATCTCTTGTTAGTTTCTCCAACGTTACCTTCCCTATGTTTAAGGTAATCACAAATCCTGTTCTGTGAGGCCAACCTCGCCCAAATCAGGTCTGTTTCTACCTTTGCCCTGCATGTTATCATTAAGCTGCAACTAAAATGTGGTGAAAATGATGGAACTGATGCATTGTGGGAGCGTGTAAATGAATCAGAGGAACCGTCTGGATCTCCAATCAACAGCTGCATTGTTTTCTTGGAGCTATGACAGGTGGTTACTACTCAAGGTTGAGCTAAATTCTGTTGTTTCAGTCATTATGTTGAACACAATGATTTGCCTTTAGTTGTTGTGTAATTGCAGATCTGAGGAAAGAAAGATATTTCTTCTTCCTTTGTAATGTGATTGGTTGTTTCTGAATGTGAGTCTGATTTGTGTCTATATAAGGTTTAATCTTTCCTTATCACATCTTCATTTTTTGCTCGAGTCGAGACTTTAGGTGAAGAAAAATCGGTACCATCATCAAATTACTTTAGAGAAACACCCACCTGCAGAATATTAAAGGTCCAGTGTGCAGGATTTAGTGGCATCTAGCGGAATTGCAGATCAATTCACCCCCCCCTTCCAAGCGCAAAGACGAAACTATGGTGGCCGTGGAATGCGCAAAAATGGAAGGTGACCTGCAGCGTCTATAGATATAAACGGTTGATTCTAAGGTGGTACCAAGATAACAAGTGCTATATTTCCTAATGAAAACATGAATATGAATATTATATTCCATTTCTGCCAATAGATCCTCCTAAATTTCACATACAGGTCTTTTAATAAGATCTCACAACTAAAAACATAAATCACTTGAATGTCATCACAGGGCCTCATCCTGTGATTTTATATATATATATATTTGCAGCATTTTTTCTTGTAAAGTGTAGGTTAAAGTTAACATAGTTAACATAGTTCATTTTCTATTTCTTCTAACATGTTAAGAGGTCATTCACACTTTCACATGACACCCTCAGTAAATGTAGAAGGGCAGAGAAAATTGTGAAACAGTAAGAGGGAGGGAGTGATGATACAGAGATTGGGTGATAAATCTTGTTCTGATCAGGTTTCTCTGGTGCCCTCACACCTCAGTCTCTTTCTTGAGGTAATTAATCAATCCCAGACTGGAGGCATTGATCGGCCTCTTGCGGCCCTCGGTATGTTTACACTCCTCGATTGTATTTGCCACTAAGCCTCTTGCTGACGCTCAATCTCATCGGCAGAAAATGTGACACTCCACCCTCTGATGCCATCAGCGGACCGGTGCATCGATTGACATCTCGATGAAAATCAATCTATTTATTTTTTTGTTGCATGGGGGATTTGGTTTTGTTATAATCCTTTGTTGTAATCCTGTATTCCAGGATGCAATACATACAGTTTTATTGGGAACAATCAAACCCCTCCTGGAATGCGGGG